TACTATGATGTTTTTTCAACTTTTTATGCCTTACTATACTATGACGTTTTTTCAGGTTTATTTGCCTTACTATACTATGACGTTTTGTCAGGTTTTTTTGCCTTATTATACTATGACGTTTTTTCAAGTTTTTTTGCCTTACTATACTATGACGTTTTATGCCTTACTATACTATGACGTTTTTTCAAGTTTTTTTGCCTTACTTTACTAAGACGTTTTTTCAACTTTTTATGCCTTACTATACTATGACGTTTTTTCAAGTTTTTTTGCCTTACTATACTATGACGTTTTATGTCTTATTATACTATGACGCTTTTTCACGTTTTTATGCCTTACTATACTATGATGTTTTTTCAAGTGTTTTTGCCTTACTATACTATGACGTTTTATGTCTTATTATACTATGACGTTTTTTCAAGTTTTTATGCCTTATTAAACTATGACGTTTTTTCAAGTTTATTTGCCTTACTATAACTATGATGTTTTTTCAAGTTTTTATGCCTCACTATACTATGTCGTTTTTTGGCATTTTTACACCTTACTATAATATGTCGTTTCATGCCTTACTATACCATGATGTTTCTTTACGTTTTTATGCCTTACTATACTAAGACTTTTTATGCCTCATTATAGCTAGACATTTTTTCAAGTTTTTTTGCCTTACTATAATATGACGTTTTTTCAGGTTTATTTGCCTTACTATACTATGATATTTTTTCAAGATTTTTTGCCTTATTATACTATGACGTTTTTTCAAGTTTTTTTGCCTTACTATACTATGACGTTTTATGCCTTACTATACTATGACGTTTTTTCAAGTTTTTTTGCCTTACTATACTATGACGTTTTATGTCTTATTATACTATGACGCTTTTTCACGTTTTTATGCCTTACTATACTATGATGTTTTTTCAAGTGTTTTTGCCTTACTATACTATGACGTTTTATGTCTTATTATACTATGATGTTTTTTCAAGTTTTTATGCCTTATTAAACTATGACGTTTTTTCAAGTTTATTTGCCTTACTATACTATGATGTTTTTTGGCATTTTTACACCTTACTATAATATGTCGTTTCATGCCTTACTATACCATGATGTTTCTTTACGTTTTTATGCCTTACTATACTAAGACTTTTTATGCCTCATTATAGCTAGACATTTTTTCAAGTTTTTTTGCCTTATTATAATATGACGTTTTTTCAAGTTTTTATGCCTTACTATACTTTGATATTTTTTCAAGATTTCATGTCTTACTATACTACGACTTTTTATTCTTTACTATACTATTACTTTATGTGACATTTTTATACCTTACGATAATATGTTGTTTCATTTCTAAGCATCCTATGATCTTTTTTCTAGTTTTTAAGCCTTAGTATACTATGATGTTTTATGCCTTACTATATTATGACGTTTTTTTGGCATTTTTATGCATTACCATAACATGACGTTTTGTGTCATTCTTATGCCTCAATATAATATAAAATTTAGTATTTTACTATTCTTACATGTTTTTCTGCCTTATTCTAGTATACCTTTTTCACTACGTACTATACTGTAAATTTTTATGCCTTAATATTCTATGACTCCTTTTATTCCTTAATATATGCCCTTCTATAGTGTGACATTTTTATGTCTTACTATATTATGACTTTTTCATACTTTACTATACTATGACATTTTTATGCCTTATTCTTCTATGACTTTTTCATAATTTATTATGCGAAGAATTTTTATACTATGACTTTTTCATGCCTTACTATAGTATGACTTTGTATCGCTTATTATGTAACAAGATATTTTTATTACTTATACTGTGACAATTTTATGACTTATTATACAATGACCTTTTATGTCTTACCATAGTATTACTTCTGTATGCATTACTATACCATGACATTTTTATGCATTTCTATACTAAGACTTGTTTATGACATATTTGCTCACTGTCACACTGTCAACGGTCACAAAAACATAACCATGGTTAATGTTTTCAGAAACTCTTTTCTTATAACAAGTCAAAATGTCTGCTGTATTGAATATGTATTTGAATTCCTAAAATAGGTGATAGTGTCATTTAATAAATAAACCACATGGACAATGATTTTAGGAGAGAATCAGAAAATATTTTATTTCTCCCTCAAAGTTCAGATAAAGCAATCTTTTTTTTTTTTTAAACCACAATAAGCAATATAAAATCTGCCCTACAAATGGTGTGGATAATTATAAACTGTGTTCAAACATTTGCACAAAATATTCCAAAAGCACATTTTTACTGAAGATGAAGCAACACGCATTCTGGAGTTACCACGTTACCACGCTCTACCGTGAGAAATAAGGTAATAAAAAACTCAAAGTAGAGCATTCTTTGGTATGATCTATAAAAAAATAATGAAAATAAAGTTAAAGACATTCTTCCCCTTTGTAACTGCTGAAAAATTGTGTTTTTTTAATGCTGCCATGTCAATAGAGACAGTTACACAGTTGAAATTTAAATTTCAACAGAAGACAGAAGTTGTTTTACACACTGAAAGTTCAGTATTTACTATTTTAAATAAACATCCCATGTCCCTGTGCTGTGCCCTCCAGGGGTACAGATAGAGTTTCATCTGAAGGACCAGCTGTCCTCGTGTCTGTAAAACTCTGGGTCCTGCCCAGCAACTCACTCACACTCAGACACAACAACTCTCAAAACTCAACACTCCTGGCTTTAATCTGACACAAAGACTGTACATACTAATTACAAAAAGACGCAGCTCCATCTCTCCTGGAGTGTTCAGGGTTAGCATCTGGACAGCTCAACATCATCAAACATGTATCCACCTTGAACGACCACATAAACAGTGGTGTTAACCGGAGATACTGTCTGTACTATTATTCTGATAGGAACTCTGTTTGGCACAGGAGGCCCTTTTGCTTTCAGGTAGGCTCAGAGGTAGAGAAGCTGCAGATCATCTTAAAGTGATCTGTTCAGCCGCAGGCACTGTTGAATGCTTCCATCTGCAATCCTCAGCCACCACAGCCAAACCTTTTTCTTGAGGACACACATGGAGCATCCTCTGCAATCTTCAGTGGCCAAAAAATTACTGTCAGCTGTTAAATTGTTAAAAAATTGTAAAATGTTCTCAAGCTTACTGATCATTGGTAAATGTATCACAATAAACAACAACGAAAAAGCTACTGGCAGGAACGCAGGAATTAGCTCTCATGTTCCTGTTAGCAGCTCAGACATGTTATCACAGGGCATGACAGAGATACTGAACCTATACGGACTGTTTACATCCACCTACCATCCATCTACCTTAAAAACGGACTGTTATTCTTTTGCTGGTGTTCAAGGATGATGAACAAAAACTCAATTAAAAACCTTAAATCCATAAAAAAAGGGAAACAAGTGCGCATTTCCAGTGGGTGTGCAATATGAAGTTCTACAGGAATTCTTTGCTCTGCTGGTGTTCCACCCTTCCACAATTGAAAACTGGGTACCACTTTACAATAAGACTACCATTATAATGGATTTGTAAATGGTTTATAATTAGGTTATTAATTTGGTTGTTAACAGATAAATAAATAAATCATATATAAACAATTATAAACAAGTTATAACACAGTTTTCATACATTCATGCAGGCTCACTATTTGGCAAGATCAAGTTAATGCTTACTACTCATTAATCTTACTAATGAGTTACTAAAAAGGAGCCTTATAGTAACTTATTAATAAATGATGATGTGTTTCACACTTTAAAATAAGGCTCCTTTTGCAGCTGCTGATAGCATGTCAAGGTAAACAATATTGCCAAGGCCTTAGCGTATGAATCTGTTAATTTAATATGATAATTTGATATGCAATTATGATAAATTGCTAGTAACAAATTTCTGATGAAACAGACAGATACGAATGCTGGAAGATGGAGAAGACAAAGAAAGCTCAGTAACTAATGAGATACAAGGCTTAACAGTAGAGAGAAATATGGGCTCACTATTTGGCAAGCAACAGTCCACTGTTGCCCTCTTATCTAATGTGGTCTAATAAATGATTTATAAAGTGTTAACAAGCTAATTAATAAACTAGTTATAATGCATTCATAAATCCTTTATACGGGCAGTCTGATTATAAAGTGGTACCAAAAACTGTATTTGTTTTAACAGCTGTGTCCTGAATCCATACAACAGTACACACTATGTTTAAAAACATGTGATTTTTGACTATGCTGTTGATGGACACTGTTCTCCCACAAGGAAATGCATAAAAGAAATGAGCTGCGAAAATTCAAAATAATCCAGAAACACCTCAGAAAACAAAAAATGACATTGTTTTGAAAAACATTTTGTCGTTTCTTTACGTTAAGTTGAATTGAAAATGGCATTAAAGTTGCACTTTGCATGCCACATGTGTTGCATCCTTTTCTGTTAATATAAACTGATTATGTATATTGCCTTCTTGTATAATAACTGTAAAAAAGTATAACAAAAATTAGAATATAGTATATACAATAAACAGTTAGTGTGTAGTATGGAAATGGGACACAGCTCTTGTAAGTGGACTCTACATCACATGCTCTCCATGGACAGCAGTGAGTCAAACCTGATCATAAGACATACAAGAGAACTGCTTCCTTCAGTTCTTCTAGCACGAGAAGTTCTTTACCAGCAGATTCAGTCAAAGGGAAATAACACTGGAGCTTCTGGAACATCTGGACTAACAGTATATCCACGGTATCCAGTCTGTCAGAATAAGAGCTTAGTTGATTAAATTGGGTTTTATGATTTAGAGCAAGTTAAAAGTGCACTTCACTGATGCTTTGTGAACCATCAAGGGGACTTGAAATCCTCAGTCATTTAGCTGGTAATATCCCGCTGTAGGTAACATGGCTGATTATCTGTTTGTAGTGTTTCCTCTGTGGATGAGGCAGAGTTCCAGTTAGGTCTCTGAAATGTTTAAAAATCCCACCTCTCCTTGAGATTTGTTTGTATCTGTAGAGATCTGAGGAGGGATGAAAGATGATATGACGACACAGACCATGTCAACCATTCCTCTCTGTCTCTTCTCCATCCTCGTCTCTCACAGAGGGTAAAAGGAGTCTTTGAACAGACTCATGCTGCCTTGTTGCACACAGACGGAGGCTTCCTGCATGCGCGTCCCTTTTTCAGCTGCGAGGCCGCTGCCTGCCGGCTTCAGCAGGAACATGAGGTTACAGTTGTGTCAGGAGTATTCAAATCCAATGGTGTTTCTGCTGGTTAGTCCCCTGAGTCCTTACTGTCAGAGTGAGGAGTGTACTTCAGCCGAAACGTCCCTGTGAAACACAACAGAGAAATTTATGCTAAGTCCACACTACTACGTTTTCATGTTAAAACGCATCTCTTTTGCTACGTTTTCTCCTCCTGCCAGCACTACTCCGCCGTTTTCGAGCACCGAAAACTGGTGAAAGCAACGTGGATAATGAATTACAAGTGTTACTGACCTTGTTGTTTTTGCAAGTAGCTGTTGAGGAGTTAAATTCTGCATTTTAACACTGCAGCAGTTTTTGCTGTTCCTCGGTCATTAAGTATTTCTTGCAACTAATCAACTGCAGAGAAGACAATCTGCTTCCTGTTTACACCGGCTCGCACATGCCGAGTATACGTGATTGCTCAGGTATGTATGCGTTTTCAGGTGTGTTAGTCTGGACGAAGATCATTTCTGATGCAGAGCTAAAACACTCGTCTGGACAGAGATCTTTTAGTTGTTTAGATGTTTTCGTTTGAAAACATAGTTGTGTGGACGTAGTAACAGTTCCTGTGTTGATGTTTTTGTGTTCAATTTGAAAATCAGCTCTTACTCCTGGAATTCAGGTAAAAAAAAAAAATCTGTTTTGCACTTTCAAATATAAACTAAGTAAATTAGACATGTAAGTTTTAATTGTATGTGTGAAGAATTTTGTTTGACGTAATGCAAGTGGAGTGTCGTTTACTGCCCCCGAACATCAGTTTAATTTCTTCATAAATGACCTTTGCCATATTGTGATGTGATCAACATCTAAGAACACTCTTCTGTTAATTAACTGCATTTTTTGATGTAAGAATAAAAACTTCATAATCTTAAATAAATGTAACACCTGATGTTGTAGGTTAGGGGTTAAAAAAAGGGAAGAATTCTAAACTTCCAATTTGAACATTATATCTATGCACAAATATTGATTGATCATATAGATTTTCTATTTTTTGATCATTTAAATAAATCATGGAAAGGCCTTATTTTTTGTAATCTGCTCTTATGGTCGTTCAATCAAACCTTGCAGAAAACATTTCAGTAATAATAACAGTCCCATGAGATACATGTTTACCTCGTGACACGCAACAACAAGAAAAGTCTCTCTTGTGAAAGAGACAAAGGTTAATTAAAACTAATTAAATATCCATTCAATCAGTCAATTATGTGTCAGTGTTTCATTATGATCAATAATATTAATCACAATCATTGTTGTTTTATTTGCCCATGACCTGTATTTTCTTTTATGTGCTTTGGCAGCACAAATGTCTTTTCAGGTCACAGCAATAAAGCAAATGAATAAAACAATTGTAAATGAATTAACTCTGCATTTAAATTGTTTTAAAAAGTTTTGAAAAGGATCATTAAATTTGTCAATTCATATCCCTGTTTGATTATTCTACACTGAAAATTAAATAATGAATTAGAGTGAATCACAAAAGAAATGTTTTGAAGACTTTTACGGATGTGACCTATGATTCTCCATCTTACAATTCATTTGTCTGTTTAAAAATGTACATTTTCAATTTTTCTATGTAAATACATATAAGCAGTTTGAAATGAAGTGGCAAATGTAAAATAGTTGTTTACATGCATATTTACCTGATTCAGTTATAAGTGATTTTTAAACCTATTGATTGTAATTAAACAGTGAAAAAGACTCACCTTGCTGTGCTGAATCCATGGGCGGCTGTTTGCAGTCCTCTGCTCTGTGTCCATTGGCACCACAGTTATAACATGACATACTCCCCGCTACCCGTTTCTGGCCTCCATTTCCCATGCTGCCATGGGGCTGGTAGAAGCCAAAGCCCTGCTGCTGGTCATGTGACACAGGGCTGTGGCGGTAGAGGGGTGGAGGCATCATCATTGGGTAGGAGAAGGGCGTGGTTCCGCTGCCAGCGCCGCTGGATGAGGCTAACAGGGGGCTGAGATGGAGCAGAGGACCCAGAGTGAAGAGGGAGGGGCCGGCTGAGAACGGCTGCAGGTAACCAGCCGCAGCATATCCAGGCAACGCCCCATAGGTGCCGCAGTTCCCCCGACAACCGCAGGAGCTGCAAACACACACGGAGGTGGTGTGACCTGAACTTTGATCCAATGAGGAGACAGAGGACGGGGAAGGGGAGGGGCTGGAGGTGGGCTGGGGAGGGTAGTAAGTGTTGCCGGGTACTGCAGCCACAGGAACACTGCTGGCGGTTGCCATGGAAACAAAGCCCCCTCCACCTCCAGAGCTCCCGGACTGTGAGCCGGACTTGGTGGAGGGACAGGACGAGGAGAAAGACGAGAAGGAGGAGGAGGTAGAGGAGGTAGGAGGATGAGTGTAGTATCCCGACGGAGAGGGGGATGAAGAGGAGGAGAGGTGGAAGTGGAGAGGGGGGTGGGAGACATGGTGGAGGCTGTTGGAGGTGGAGGTCAGAGCCGAGCTGGTTTCCACCATCAGACCCACAGCGCCTCCTGCCAGGCCACGACAAACCACCGAGTCCTGGAGCGCAGAGGAGCCGTCCATGTTCAGCCCAGGGAACAGGTTCTCCAGCCTCATCCCCATCCCCACCCCCACCCCGAGCCCCGGGCTGAAACCCGCAGCGGCCGCAGGCAGCCCCGAGCCCAGAGGCTTAGTCCTGTCCTCCGTGCACAGCGGAGGCGGTCGGGGCTTGCGTGGGGAGGTCAGGATACGTGCCGGGTTAGAGACCGGGGAGAGCAGGGTCTGGGGGTAGCTGGCCTGCGGGTGGAAGGGAGATTGCGGGAGACCGAAGGGGAGGTGGGAGGAGCAGGAGGGAGGGAGAGGGGGAGCTGGATCAGTTTGGACGGGTAGGACCTGGGCTGTGGGGCGACTGGAGCCTGCGGGGCAGCTGGAGTTCAGGATGAAGAGGCAGGACCGGTCCTTCTCTGGACCCCCTCCTGCAGCATCTGGACCTGACACACCTGAAACACAGATACAGGGTGACTTGTGGAAAGCTAAAGTAAATACCAGAGCTGTGCATGTGTTAATATGCTGGGACTGAATGTCAAATAGAAGAAGGTAAAAAAAGCTGTGAGATTTCAATAAAAAGTAAATAAAATCCAAAATGTTTCTTTGAGGATCATGTGCATTTTAACAAGTAAGGAAAATTGATCAGTCTATGCTAGTGCAAATTATTTGTTGTCAGAACTGGGGCAAACTGAGAGGGGAAAATACTAACGCCTCTTTCAAGCTGCAGCTGTCATTAACTTCCAAAACTCATCTAGCGTCTTTGCTTCACTCAGGTTTTCACTCACACAAATAAATAATGAATTCAACGGTCCTGCCAGGAAACTTACGCCTGTGAATGTCTCTGCTCCTGTCAAAGGCGGAGTCACAGCACAGTGGCGTCCGAGGGGAGCAGGAGGAGCTGGAGTATCCCGAGGATGAGCTGCTGTCTGTGGAGACGGGGTGATGGTGCGGCACGGCATCCACCTCCACTCGCAGCTCTCCTGATATACATTTCAGGACACCATGAATTTGGGCTGTTTTCATCTTTTTTTTTTTGCAGCTCACTGTTTCCCAATCACAAAAATACATACTTGAACACTGGGAGCTTCCCACAGTCTCATACTGCTGGACACTGTCTTTTTTTTTATATCCAAATGTGAAACACCACATCAACTCATTTTGGGCCATTTGCAGCAAAAGCTTTGTGATATTTGTCATGTCTAAACAAGCAGAGAGCCTCACACAAAGCAGCTTCGTTACCTGCAGTGGCGGTTGAGTGTGCTGAGGGTCCCATGTGACTGGAAGGCGTCACCCTGGCGATGCCGCTGCAGGACCGCTTCTCCATCTTCATCTCCCTGCTGGGGACACACAGTCTTACTACCAAGGAAAACAGTCTGTTACCAAGACAGAGGTTAAGAGATGTTTGATGCATCTTGTTCAGTGTACTTTTTATTTGCAGACGCAGATTTTAGCATTAATATATGGAGGGTAGACGATTTTACAAGCTTGACTCTTTAAGTTTTTAAGAAAATGTCCTATAATGACCACCAGGTGGAGACATTGTCCACTCTACACGTCCCTCAGCATCCCAGCTGCTCCTCCACAAACACATCTGCAAACTTGCCACATGGAAAACCACTGCAGGAACTTTCCATTTACTGTGTCTTGTTTAAGCATGCGCGTGCACACACACACACACACACACATACACACTTTGTCACCTGCCTCATGGAAACCTGTTGATACCGGGGATGGAAACATGATTACGAGATAGTAACAGCAGGTTCACATGTGAGGAATGCAGGTGTGTGTGTGTGCGTGTGTGTATGTAATTAAGGGAGAGGGAGCATGAAGGCACATTTGCTTGCACGTCAGTGTTTTTGTGTTTTTTGCATGTGTTTCTGTTGGTTATCTCCAGGTAAGTACACCTTATCTAAGCAGCCCACCTACAGCTGGTTAACCATTGACACCATATGGACCGTTACTGCTCTATATTCACTGTGAAATCAGCAGCTGATGAGTGTGTCTGTTAATCATTAATAGGACAGAGCATCTGCTAACTTCACCATCCATCGACACACACACGTCTACACTGTAGAAGGTAGTTTGAGGTCACTTATATTAATGTTTTTACGGGTAAGAATTAAATCTAAAGTTCCAACTTATCCATCACTCTGCACGTCGACTTATCTTGCCAGTACATCAGCCCTGTATCCAGTGAGAATTTATTCATGACAAAACTATCATGCAAACATAAAAACAAATATTCCATCAGTAATCCATCTACTAGTCAAGATTAGAGAGTGTATAAGGAGAGGTTTGTAAGTGCAGAACAATTTTAAGGAGCAATTAGTGAGCATTTTTTTGTTTTGTTTTTTGTTTTTTCAGTTATCTACTCTGGTGTTTTTCTCCAGATGATCTGGAAGCTTCAGAGCACGTGAGAATGTGAGAGGATGTGCCGTAATCCAGTCTCGGCGAACAAGCTTCAAAGAGACGCAAAGAGGTAGAGCCTAACAGGATGACACTTCACTTCCAGGTCAGATCCAGAAATGTTTTGGGATACAAACATGGTGAGCAAGGGGGATCAAATGAGGATCTCGTAGCTGCGCAGGACTACGCCACATTCTCTCACGCTGCACATAACTCGCCAGAAAAGAGCAGCACATCAACCTCCCCCCTCTTCCAGCATAAAAGCAGTTTCAGACAAAAAAAGACTGAGGAAAACTGGATTTGAGATTGTTGTAGCTTACTCTACTGACTTTTGTAGCTCTAGCTGGGTCTTGAGTTTCTTCTTTGCTCCTTGGGTCAAGTCGTACTTGTTCAGATCTTCCTCTGTCAGCGCTAAAAACTGAAGGTTGTACAGAAAAACAGAATCAGAATATGTAAAAACAGCATGTTCAATAGAAACAGACAAAATTTGAATGAGCAACAAAAACAGCTAGAAATCCAGGTTTAGTGGATGACTGAGTTTACTTGTTGTTTTCTGTTAGACGTCTTGTATAAGCTAAAGACACGAGCTGACTCACCTCCTCCATGGTCAGCTGTTTGAAGACGGGGTAGTACTTATGGAGCCGAAGCTTGCGGAGCCAGTCCAGGATGCCGTTCTGCTCCGGATTGTTGGGCTGAGACTGAGACGGAGGTTGGGTGTGGGTCTGGGAACGGGACTGGGAGTACGAAAGGGACTGGGAGTGTGAGTGGGACGTTGGCTGGGAATGGGACAGGTGGAGGGACTGTGACTGTGCACCGGACTGACTGCTGGGTTGCAGGTGAAGGTGGTGTTGGGAGTGCTGCTGGGGCTGGGGGTACGCGTGCGACTGACCGTGCTGGGAGGAGACATCACCTCCGACGGCCATGGAGCCCTGGACGGGCAGGGGTGGCACAGGGGGAGGGAGGGAGGATAGCTGGGGGGAGTGCTGAGGAGGGAGAGGAGGAGGAGGAAGAGGAGGAGGGAGGGAGGAGAGGTGAGGGGTGGAGCGAGTCAAGACGGAGCTGTGGGTGCTGACGACGGGCTGGACGCTGGCCACTCTGTACACTGCCCTGAGAGAGTAGAGGCAATCAGAGGAGGAACAACTGATGATGATGATGATGATGATGATGATGATGATGATGATGATGATGATGATGATGATGATGAACGATATAAAGGAACACAGAGAGTAAAGAATCTTACCTGTTGGCTCCTCGGTACTGAAGCATACAGCCAAGATCTGTGAGAAAAACAAAGAACCTTCATCATTTTCATTATCATCATCATCCTCACTAAAGTAGTGTCTGAGTGAGTGAAATCCAGATCATCGTGCAGCCTGCAGAAAGTTAACCAACAACCAACAACACCAAAGTAAGCGATGTTTTCTACAGCGTGGACACAGGCTCGCTGAGCGGCATGACCAGTATGAAAATGATGCGAGTCACATGTCGCAGTCCGCAGACCTCGAGCCAGTTCGACAGCTAAGGGGAGGTTTTAGAGCGACGTGTTAGACCTCGCTCTACAACAGCATCATCAAAATACCAAATGAGTGGTGTTCATTCCTCCAGCGGAAATCAGACACTTGTAGAATCTGTGACTAAAGGCCACTGAAGCTCGACGACCGCCATCATCCAGGACGCTGTAATCCCAAGAGCCACAAATGACAATGTTTTTAACGGGATGAAGGCTCCTGTGTAATCGCAATCAGTTCAGTGATTGTTAAACTGATCTGATGCCACAGTGGAAGGAGCCTCCAGCTGCTGTGGAAACTGTAGTATTAGAGACAGTGGAGGCTCCAAAGTTGTTTATTCATTAAATAAATATTTTAGATGTGTGTGTAAATCCTGAATGAATCATAAAGTCACACTTGCAACTTTGTCTGCTTTTCCTTCATCAGCACTTTTCTCTTTCCTTCCTCTTTACCTATCTTGTTCCAAGTTTATCTTGACTCATTTAGCAAAAGAAAATATTTGTCCTGAACAGCTGGAAACTTAAGGCTCTTCTCAGTCCTGTATCATCAGCATCAGCAACAGTGTAGTCTACTAGTGTTACTTCTATCAGTCCCATTCTGTGACGCTCCAATAGATCTATAATCAGGATTATTGGTGCAACAGTCCTCAGCCATCAGGTTAATTACTTCTACATATTATGGTTGAGACAGTTTAGACGTCCCGTGTGGTGAATACAACAAACTGGAGACGGAGACATGACATTCACCCTCTGCTTTAATGCTTTCATACTCGTTCTCCGTGTCAGGACATCAGTGTTTTTGTTTTGTTTTTTTAATTAAACTGTAAAGATAAATAAAACATAATTTCACGCTTGCACTCCATAAACTCCGACCTCTGGCGAAGGACCGATAATAAAGTGACTGACTTGTAAAGTGTCTTCTGGTTTCTTCACACTCGAGCGTCAGAAATATCAAGAGACAAAAATAATAAGGAAGTTGAAATCTGTATCAGAGCGAGAGCAACTAAGAACATTTACAGAAAGTCCTTTACACCAAATGCTGTTACTGTTAAATTCATAAGCATCATTCACACCGGACTCATGTCTGCCATGTTGTCTGTACTATGCATGCTATGGTTAGTTATTATTGTATTTATTGATTGTGAGTTACAATATGTTTTAACCACGCTGTGAAACCAAAGGCAGATTTACACATCCGTGGATAATTAAGATTATTATTATTATTTTTTAACAATATTATCATTAATTTAATTATTATTAGTATTTTCAAACTTCATTTTGTTCTAGAAGCAGTGATCCATGTTCAGTAACTGTGATGTTACAGCCTCATATTCAGCTTATGAAGGATGGTCTGTGATATACTGCGGTGCAGGGCAGAGGTCTGTGTGTTTGTGGTTACACATTACAGCAAAGACACATTCATATCAGCCCTGCAACCCGGGGTCTCCAGTGAGTCTGGCACACACGCGCGCACACACACACACACACACACACACACACACACACACACACACACACACACACAGAGGTATAAACAGATACTAAAAGTACAAGCACACACACAAACACACTGCACTGCCAGATAAAAATACTCTCCGCGATGAAGTCACACTCATAGAATTGAGCACACAAACACACACACACACACACACACACACACACACACACACACACACACACACACACACACACACACACACACACACACACATACATCAACATGAGGTCACCACACTCTAGGCTTCCCAACACAAACATGCCACGCTGAATTCCCACACCAGACTAAAATAGACCCCGTCCGCTCCCTCCAACACCTCCAAAACACAAACTGAAAATCCTGCCTGCAGTCTCACCTCTCTCACCTCGTCACCACCACCAACCAGGATCCAGACTCACGGCCTTGTCCTTTCAATTACCTCTTTTTTTCTCTCTCATCTCTGACACCAGAAGCCAGACATGAAATCTTTTATCTTGCGCCTCTAGCCCTGTCCCTTATTGGTCCCTTCTCTCCCTGCATCTAAGAATAGGGATCTCCTCTTTTATATCCCTGCTGCTGTCTATAAAGACTCACTGGCTTCATAGCCTTTGCGGCCTCACACTCACAACATCACCATTTCATATCTGTCTGATGATTTCTGCTACGTGTCGTCTGCTATTGCTCTACAGTTTTTTTTTGTTTTTTTTTTAAAGAAACAGAAATAAAGTCAAACTCCAAGACTCCAAAAATCAGTGACTATAAAAGAAAATGAAGCCTTACTAGAGCTGGAGGAGGTGAACGGGCAGGTCGGGGCCACGGGAGCTGTGGGAGGGGAGGAGGGTAAGGGAGGTAAGGAGGAAGTGAGGGAGGAAGGACAATTGGGTGAGAGAGGTCTGGTGGAGGTGAAGAACAGCTGGACGCTGTGGTGCTGGAGAACATGGCAGGGCAGCGCTGTCAGACTCCTGGGTGCAGGCAGAGAGACGGGACAGCAGGGAGTCAGACACAAAAAGTCAACTGGATTCAAAAACTACAGGGAGAGACGCTCTGACTTTGGACGAAAAGACTATACATATCACACTGAGCGGCATCATGGGGGGTGCACTGAAAAATGAGCTTTGATGAGTTACCTCAACAAACCTGTTTTAGATATAGATGAATTCAGTATATTCTCAGTAAAGCATATTGTAGTAAAGTAACGCTTATCCAGATAAATAATCATCTGGGTTTCTTTCCAAATGATCAATCAATCAATCAGTCAATCAACCCCCATAACGGCCAAGTCTAAAGTAGACACAATTCTCTGAGAGAGGAACAACACTTTTCAGTAAGAATAAATAAACAGGCAGGGTGATGGGACTGACCTGGGGTCCAGATCTACGGACTGAGGGAGGAACTTCTCCACTCCTTCATCAGGAAATGCTTGTGACAGCTGAGAGAGAAAGTTCCACATGTGAGACATAAACACATTAAAAAACCGAGTCCACTGTGTCATTACATTTCCATAGCTGAAGATACCGAGATTTACACCCCCATGAATCCCGACTAATCAAAACAGCTTTGACAGGGACAGTGGGATTGAACAGTAGTGAAGACCTCTCACTGCTGAGTCGAGCCTGAGATTATTTCTATCAGGGAAAAGTGCGATTTCACGGTCCTGACCTGGGACAGCAGCTCCGTCACCTCCTGCTGAGTTCGGACAACGTTCAACACAAAACCATCTGACCAGCTCACCTGGAGGAGCAGGGGGAGGGTTAGGGTTAGTGAACAGAAGTCAACGTGTGTGTGTGTGTGTGTGTGTGTGTGTGTGTGTGTGTGTGTGTGTGTGTGTGTGTGTGTGTCTGTATGTTTACTCTGTGCTGACCTCGAACACATATTCACTGGTGTCTTCGGACTTGTGTGTCACTCCTCTCAGCGCCACCCTCTCAATCACCACTGAAAGAAGAGCAGAGTGTTTAACAGATGATTAACCACACTTCACAGCTTCACACAGTCCAGTTCACGCTCAGCAAACTGTGCCACAACATCTGAGCAATTGAGACAGTGGCTTCGACACGTCAGTCATTCAGGATTGATCGGATGAGGTGGCCTGGAGGAGGAACTTTAACCTGGCCTCCTATCAAAAGCCATAAATCAAGTGAAGACAAAACTTCAGGCAAAGTAGTTTAATGTGGCTTCAAGTGGAACAACACTGACGCGGCTTCACAGGAAGGTCAAAGGTCATGTACACTACCAAAGAGCTGGTAGAGATTCAGGCTTTTCACTGCCCACTTAACACGAAATGAATGTAGTATACAGAACATGCAAAAATGTTGGCGGGGTTGTTGACGAGTCTCCGTGACTCCGCGTTGATTACTTCTCCAGGTGCTGAGATTTCTTTCCTGTATTATGGTGTGAAATAGCTCTGCTTCCCCGGCTACATGTGTTTTACCTGATAGTGGTCAACAGCGCTGTAAGTGGGAGTTAGCTAACAAGGAGTCCGGTTTAAGGAGCGCAAGAAGAAGCCCCGTTGTTTCAGTTTGTTTGGAAAAGTGAACCAGCAGGTCGTTAGGTTGGTGGTGGGATGGTTCAATTTGGCTTTAAATCCACAACAGTTTTTATTCTGACACTTCTTTTTGTAGAAAATTCAATTGTTCAAATTTCTGAAATGTGAAGACGTGCTGCTTTTCTGTTTTTATAACACTATAAAATTGTATGTATGTAAATTGAAAACGATTCACCTTGAGGAGAAGCTCTGGAAAATTGTGATTTTGAGCATTTACCGTAATAATATCTATCCCTGTGATATCTCTGTTTGCATTAGGCCACGTGGGCCGAGATGCAAATGAATGAGCAGGGGAATATTTGATTTTTGAAACTATTTTTGCATCAATATAATCATGTACTTTGATTTGACAGGTATTTACTTTGGTGGATTAGCCAAAATTAATTAAAAATGAATGAATTTATCCATTCATTTAGATTTATTTTACTACACAGTACTGATAATGTGATACGAAATGACATAGACTGTGATGTCATGATTCATATCTCACATCCCTAAAAGGTTCAGTGGATTAATTGAAAGAACAGTCCACTAGTTAATTTTATAATGATTATATAATGATTTATTTCCCCCCATTTCATAACTTTTAATTTATTTTATTGGTTTTACTGTTACATTTCATTTTCATTCTTATTTCTTGTGTGCATTAGTCTTAAAGTCTTTTACTGTTTACATTTTTACTGTCTCATTAGTCAGTCGTCATTATCTGTTATTCGTTAAGCACTTTTAATTGCACTAACCTGTAGAAAAGGTGTTACATTGATTGGCAAGGACACGAGTAGTAGAGTGCATACACTTCACATCCTCCTTCAAATTTTATCTGTGAGCCTCAGCTTCTATTTAAACTTCCTCTTGCTGACTCATCACCTCTTCTCCAGGACCTCTCGCTGCGTGTTCACAGACCAAAGATTTGAACCGTTTTTATATTCCTTAATATCTTGGAGATCTCTGGCTGTACACACTAATGATCCACGAGTGACTGAACAGTTTGTCAAACAGAAGAAGGCGAAAATCTTGCCCACAACTCTCCCATGTATACAAACTGTCCACTCTAATTTCCCATCTGGACAGAAACGCCGTCCTGGCTGTGCTGCCAAAGCTGCTACTGTACAACTCATTCAGGATGCTGCTCCCCATCTGGGATTCAACTTCCCCAAATTCTTACCCACAGCCTGACTGTAGCTATATGTATTCAAAACACTGGCGCTGGCAAGGCCACGATGGTCAGGACCTCTTAACACGCATCCAGCTCTAAACTCTAGAAGCCGAATCTTTGCTCTCTGCCCCGGACCACCTCCACCCCAGCTTCACTCCCACTCATCCAGTGTGACTTGAAAACACATAACATCCTTCTCTTCCTTCCCTTGATACCTACAATAACATCCTCTCTTCCACATTGCACGTATGTTTATCTGCCTCAGGTGGAGAGGCGGGTTAGGGCTGCTCCGCTGCCATTAGATCCATGTCATTAGGTAGAAAGTGAGTGGAAATGGTGGGAATGCTAAATAGATGGGTGTGTGTGTGTGTGTGTGTGTGTGTGTGTGTGTGTGTAAGCAGAAGACTTGCAGGTATCGATTTAGACATATTAGACTCCACAACTCTCTATTTGAAACCACATCAGGCATGCAGGGACAAGCAGCAGGGGAGGGGAGGACATGAGGAGGAGGAGAATAAAGAGAGGGATAAAGGAGAGAAGAGAGAGTAGTTATTAGTTCTTTTGTGAAGCACTTTGTAACATTGTTAAGAAAAGTGCTATATAATTAAAGTGTATCATTATCATTATTATTCTCACTACACACACACACACACACACACACACACACACACACACACACACACACACCGCTCACCACCTTGCTGTGTGTCTGTTGGGCAACAGCTGTGACAGGCTCAAAATGCTGCCTGCTGTTCACGCTAATCTAAGCTGCAACACACACACACACACACACACACACACACACACACACACACACACACACACACACACACACACACACACACACACACACACAGAGAACTGGACACACACACTCTTTATTGAGCGCAGCAGTGTGTGTACATGACATGCTGATGACGAGTTACAGTTACAGTATGTCCCAAAGAGACAGTAAATACCCCTCGTGTTGCCCCTGTGACTTTGTGGCCTGAGGTAACAAAAACTGCAGTGTACCATATAAACTTAATTGTCTGTGTATGTGTGAATGTGTGTGGACGCCTCCTTGCATTTGTGTTTTATATGTTTCTACATACTGAATACGTGTGTTGTGTGTGTATTTTTTCTTGCTGGTGACAGCTATGCGGCGTGACCATGAGGTAGTGAGATAGTTGAGTATTGTGTTACCGACAGAGACACGGGGCCAAGACAATAACAGACCGGCCTGGGGAGGGAGGCTGAGCCCCACCTTAAACCACATACTGCACTGAAGGACTGAACAGTATCCAAAAAAAAAAAAAAAATCATATTGTGATATGAGTAACAATTTTACTGGGAATGGTAATTTTTGCAATTAAATTTCACAGAGGAAAATATAAATATGATGATGATGTGATTTTTGTTGGAGCTTGTACCAAACAAGCATGTTGCTTTACCTCCACATTTGACCTGTATCACAAAAAGTTGCAGCTCCTGCGATCTGGATATTGCACTTTGCCAATATCACGATTTCATTGGGTGATTGAGTTCAAATGGATAATAATGATAAGATTTCTTAGATGACCAATTTGCCTTGTGAGCATGAGTGTGATTATGACCTTGAACGCAGAGTGAGACGACTTTGTCATGACGTGTGTTTCATTTTAGCCGTGTTCAGCTACATCGCGAACATCGGACGGAGAGAGAGTGTGTGAAAGAGGAAACACTTATCACTAAAACCAATAGTGTCTAGAAATGTAGATAGTTGCAGTTTCATTTGCCCAGTGTTTGAGATACACCTGAGATTTTTTCTGCCACCTAATACAACAAAAACAACAATAACAACAACAACAACAACAACAACAACAACAACAACTACTACAACACCAAGTGAACGACTTTTTATGAAAAAAGATGGGAAAAAAAGTAACATGAGAATATCGACATGTATGACTTTGAGTTCAAATGTCAGCAGTTTTTATTCAGCATCTATTGGACTAAAATGTTGAGACAGATTGTAAAGTTTTATCGCAATAGGAATTATTGATTTAGGTGGTTTGGTGATGATTGCTCTGACAGATCACTCTGAACCTGTAATCATGTGCGTCCTCAAGTGACATACTACGCTGCAGCTCTCCCACACACACACACACACACACACACACACAGCCTTAGGGCAGCATTCTTTAAGCTTAGTTGTAGAGTTCAGATGTGCCAGCATGCCACGTCTTGTTCAACTGGGCTTAACTGGGTGTATAGCAAGACACACACACACACACCACACACCACACACCACACACACACACCACACACCACACACACACACACTGCATGCCGGTATGCACAGATGGAGGGCGGGGGTGAAACCATAAATACATACAGTAAGTAAGTAAGACAGGGAGACACACTGAGATCAATGACAGTAGGAAGTACAACTGCACAGGAGAGAATATTTCCATTATATAAGCCCTTGTGTAGCAATATTTTTTAGAAATGCAGCAGACAAATACAAACAACTACTTCTGTAATGACTGCTTACCTTTTCCTGCTTTCCCCTGGTGGGTCTTTGTGGGTGGTGCTGCTGCTGCTGCTGCATCCAGGCCTTGTCCAGCAGGTACAGAAAGGGGCTGATGAAGAGGAGGTGGTGGTGGTGGAGGAGGGGGAGGAGGAGGAAGAGGGAGGTCTGGGAGAGGAGGGGTGAGGTCTTGGCCGACCGCTTGGTCTCCTCGTCCCTTGGTGACCCCTGAGCCCAGCCCCGAGGCTGTGCCGGCCTCTCTGGTCTGGCTCTGGAGGACAGGGGTGAGAGATCGTTTAGCGGAGGAGAGGTTAGGACCACAGAGCAAAGGTCAGGGATAACTACAGTACAGCATGTCACATGCTCGGCCTTAAGTAGAGCTTGTTTGTGCACTGGAGCATGTGCGTTACCAATATAACTGTGACCTCAAGGTGCAACCAAGTTTGTTCTTGTATCATATTTGTCATTCAATGTGAAATGTCTCTTTGCTTACAGATGAGTCAAAAACAAAAACAAAACAGTGAATTCTGCTTCTGCAGAAACAGTCCCACACTGTGTCCCCCCTCCTCTCAACCAGTTGCCTTCACAGTCCAACATGTGCACAAACACACACACACACACACACACACACACACACACACACACACACACACACACACACACACACACACACACACACACACACACACAAGGCAACATTCAACAACCGTCTAGATGAATGCAATGCTTAAGCATCTGTGCTGTCACTGCTTGAACAAATTCAAAGACTAAGCAACGCTCTCGCTCTCTCTCCAGGGCTGGCACAGTGCTAAAACAAAGTGAGGAGAAAGATTTGGCAGTGCAGAGCAAACCAATATTTAACCAGGCCATTCGACTGAGAGGGCGCTCTTATTTATAGCAACACCCTCGAGGAGCAGTTTTAGGGAGAGAGAGCCGACATTCAATCACATATTTAAACCCTGAGCTGCCTTTTACTATCAAAGGAACTGCTGCTTTAACTGAAACCGCCCAGCAGGCACAGGACATCGATGTAACATCAGAAAGACTTTGGACTCTAATGACTCTAACGTCAGGGTGACGTCGAAACCCAACATTGACTAAGTGACATTGTGACGTTTAGCAGACGGTGGGTTTTACTCACAACTAGAATGTCCATATTTTATATGTCAAGATGCCGTTGGCATGAGACATTTTGAAGACGTTGGATTTTGGTTACTTAGCAACAACTCTTAAAACCAACAAAATGTAAACGTCAGCTGTTGTCAGTATGCCATGTCAAATTGACCATGGCATTAGATGTTGTCCTGACACGATCACAACCGCAACTTTTGAACTATTATCATGTGAAAAACTCCACTTTACAATACTCTTGTCATCAAAACAGTCTTTTTGCTGTAGGTAACTTAGTTTCATTAGTGTTAAATCTTCTTTCTGTTACCTTCTACTTCAATTAGTAAATTTCTAAATTTCCCTTTCATGAATATGCAAGATATCATTGCTTTTAATCAAGGGGTTTTCCCTTTAAAGGGCCTATTCATAAGTTTTCTCTGCTGTGGAGCTTCAGCCATCATTATAATACGTCTTCTGTACAGTGCTACGGCTTCAGGGCAGATAGGAGGCTACAGTGAGTCGCTATCGGAAAATGATGGGAAGGGCCAGGGATAGCTAGTTAGCGTGCTAACTTCAGCAGAAGAAAAGACATGATAGAGAAAAGAGTTAACATTGCTGTTACTTTCCAACACTGGACAAAAGCACTTGGTGAGTAAAGGAATAAAGTTTGATGCTGAAGTTGCAACATTTCTTCTAGACTAGTAAGTAAACAGCTGTTAATGCTAGAGCTGGCTATGTAGCAATAGCAAAATGTACATATAGCTTAGCTTACCACCAAAATCAGAAAGATGCTGCCAAATTAAGTAGCTGGACTGGAATTATCCTGATATTGTTTGAGGGTGGATTTTTCCTTTACTTTATTTGTCTGAAACTTTTATTAGTTAGGCTATTTGAAAGTGCTCTAATCAATATTCTAATATGAAAAATGGAGCAAGCTAATGGACCTGCCCATAGTGAACCCACAGAGAACTATGACCAAACTCTACGGTTCCTCTCAGCTCAGCTCCATAGAGCGTTTCATATTCTTCACCTCATTGTTTGGGTTTAATGACCCGCAACTTTACTTTTTTAATTCACTCTCACTGCTCTCATCTGTCACTTCCAGCCACAGGCAGCTGTTTTTAATCAAAAAAGCTCTGAAAAACATTCTGTACTCTACCTGCCCATGAAACAAACAACAGATGTACCAACTACCTAGTGAGCACAGTGTAGCATTTAGCAGCTAAAGATTTTTTTCTTGGTTAGATGGTAGAGACCAAAACAGAGCCAAAAAGAGAATCAATACTTGACTTACATTCGTCATGTGTCCAGAAACACAACAGCAAATGAATCCTCATGTCGATCTGTCTGCCAGTTGTATGAATGGGCAACCGTTTGCTAACACGTTCATCATATCAGCTTTAGAGGGTAGTGCAATATGCCATGTTGTGATTACAGCTTGTGGTGCTACCATCAAGTTGCCAGAAAACATCCATTAGAGCCATTAGAGAAGGTTTTAAACAAAAAAAGGGTAAAAACGAATAATTACAACTGATTTTTTTTTTTTTTTAACAAATCTGTTGTTCATTATGTTAATGAATGTTTTACTGAATGCAGAACATTAACATGTGGCAAGCCGGTACCACAAACAGTCAGTCTCTAACACAAACAACACAGTTAGCAAATCCCAAAAGACCACAAGATTATGAAATATTACCCCCAACCCAAAGCCAGTGCTGTAAACAGTGTGTCACCATACTACACTGTTTATACATTTAATTTCACACTATCCTTGACGTGTAAACAAAGCAGGACTTGTTTTAGCCACATATTTCTGTTTGTCATGGAAATTCAACCAGAGTGATTCTTGTCACATAATGAGATTTTATGTAAGTAAGGGTAAAGGTTCGATTAATCATTTACTGTATCTTACAATGTAGTATGCTCTGTATTATAATGTATGGAACGTGGCGTGAACGGGCCGATGAGCATTTTAAGTCACTATACTACAAAGCACTGCCGTGTTTAAAACCGGTTGGTAGATGCGGCATGTTTTTGTGTCTCCCCTTGTTTAAATAAAGGTTATTACTTCAGGGTTAGGGTTATTTCTCTATGTCAGCAGGAAACCCACAATTAAAGATAAAAATATTTCATTGGAGTTATGGAGTGTATGGTTGTCTCCTTTTCCTTCAGAGGAAAAACCCAATATGTGCTATTGCATAGAATCACGCACATGCACACACGCACACACACACACACACAGCATGAGGCAGTAGATCTGAAAACAATTAAGTGTGCTACTGCCACATCTGCATGTTACTCGCCCAACCTGCCAACTCTGTGCTCTGTCTGCAGACTGTAAGTGGAGAGGAAGGAGATTCTAACTCTGCAACACCGTTAACTGCATGAAGTAAAAACAGCACTTGTGAGATCAACATGATTCAGTGGGGTGGATTATGAGGAAGAAACAGGAAAACAAGTATGAAATAATGAAATAAAGATACGTATCCGGATATTTCGATTAGCATGAACCTCATGGAGCGAAAACAACCGAAAACTATAAAACCCAGAGTGTGTGCTGACAGCAACTCCTCCTCCCTCTCCTATAACAGTCAGCTTAACTCTGCTGTTAATTCTGACACTGGCATTGCTTTTTATAGATGTATAAAGCACTCGTATAATAGGGTGATTATGCAGGTCTGTACAGGCCCAACAGTTGTGGCCAACCCATCATATGTGTTGTTCATACTGCTGCATGTCTGCTGCTAGACCTGCTGGAGAAAACCAACTTCAACTATTTCTCCTCTGGAGTTACTCGGCATCCAGCTGCTTTGTGTTAAAATAAGCTTATGCAAGTTGACTTAAAATCCTGGAGGAAGAACTGGCTGCAGCGACTGGTGCAACACTAAAATGTGTTTTGATGTCCTGAAATACAAGTTTGAGGAACTTTTTACTCCACTACATTTATTGTACATATACACTATAGTTACTGGTTACTTTGAAGATTAAAGGACCAGTGTGTAGGGGATCTACTGGAATATAACATTCATAATTTTGTTTTCATTAGCGCACAATCATCTGAAACTACGAATCATTGTGTTTTCGTTATCTTAGAATGAGCCCTTCATATCTACATAGGGAGCGAGTCCTCTTCCACAGAGTTCGCCATGTTGCACCGCTGTGTCACTACAGTAGCCCAGAACGGACAAACCAAACACTGGCACTAGAGAGGGCCCTTTGCAATTCTGATCAGATGTTAAAGAAAGATATACACCCTCTGTAGGGAGATACACCCAATCTTCCTTTTACAAGTAAAAAGTCAAATTCATAATAAAACGCTTGAACCATTCGGCGCACTTCTTTGTTTTGCTATTGCAGCCTCACACTTGTTCTGGTACGACAAGTAGTTCGCCAATGTTCACTAATGTTAGAAAACTTATGATGCTTATAATGCTCTTCACTACTTGCTGTTATGTCACAGATAAATATTTTACTGACATAAATGCACAAGGAGACATGTTTGTCGTTTCTTGCTCGTGGCTCCATTCCACTTACTCTCAGTCACTGATGACCTTTAAAGCTCAAGAGAATCATGGGAAATTATGGGATATTCAATCTGCCATTATCATTATTATAATTGCCACTTTTGGCCACAGTGACAGCTGTTTCTCAAGATTTACATAGTAAAAGCTGCATTAATTGATTTAAATGGCCACTTGGGGCAGTAGAACAAGTTGTAAACACGACATTGAAATTCATCAAGAGATTGTCCATTCACTTAGACACAGAGAAACTTCAACAGTCCTTTATAGCTGTGCTTCTGAACACCTGACACAATCCACTGTTCTCTCTCCTTTTAGCTCGACTTTTGGTTTTCACTAGGTAGCACTTTAAAATTAGCTGTCTGATGAAAGTGAACCAAAACGCTAAAGTTGCAGGACATAAAACCAAAACAGTAAGCTAAAGTACTTAATTTAATTTACCTACTTTAGAGACTGATAGTAGTTTTAATTGGGTTTGTCACTGCAGGTGATCCCTTTCACAATACTCAAAGTCATTTGATTCATTGTAAATATAAAAATATTGATAAGTGCAGCTTTAAGTGAAGATTTTGAATACTTTAATTGAATACTCCACCAATGATTAGGTGAGTCCTCAGTGATGGCTACTACTCGACTAGCAGTCAAGAGTTATTTCTGTTACACTCCCCATAGCTTCCTAGCACTGTGGCTAACATAAAACCTTGCTGCAGAAGAGATACACACAGTTACAGCCTTCAGCCCTTAGTTATTGTGTCAAATATATCTACAGTTGGTGACAGTGGGCCTGGCTAAAAGCTGCTCTACTGTAGATAATGTATGAGACTCCTCTAGTTTACAATGAAACCCTGTCATTCCTTTTCCGAGCACCGAGGGAAGGAAAGAGAGAGAGAGAGAGAGAGAGAGAGAGAGAGAGAGAGAGAGAGACAGAGAGAGACAGAGAGAAAGAGAGAGACAGAGAGAGAGAGAGTAAGAGCATTTATAACTTCCTGGGGATTCACTGGAGACACACACATGCACATGCACAGCATCACAGACAGACACACACACACACACACACACACACCACAGTAGGTTGATTTCAGCATAGAGAAATGTGCTGACCTGCACTAAGCAGGAGCCAAGGGCAACAAAACACTAAATACAAACGCTCCTCTCTGAGCTGGGTACTTTCCCTTCACTGCTCACACATGTTTAAACAGTGTGCCTGCCTGCTTCTCAGTGAACATTCAAGTGTGTGTGTGTCTATGTCTCTGTGGTAGACAGGAAAAAACATAACCAGTGTTTCGCTTCTTTAACTTTGTTTTGCCATCCGTCTTGATCTCACTCGCAGTGATAAATAGTTTCTTTCTCATCCGAAATCTCTGCCAGATGATCCCAGATGTTACTGTAACAGGAGGTTAATGAACCACTAATTTCCCTGCATCAGTGGGAAATCCCCCTCCCCTCCCTTCATCTGTGATCTCCATCTTTTATTACAACACATCCAGGAAGTGGGGCCACATTTGGTTGTAAACAACCGCCGTCTTTTCCTACCTGTCATCTTTTATCATCACTATTTGGACATTTTACGGTTGACCACTGATGTTGTCATTAGAAGTAGTATTGTTTTTTACAAGTAGTTCAAGTTCAAGTTCATTTCTTCACATTTCAAAACATTTATCACGTGATAGTGGTTTGGCTTGTCACTAAACAAAAGGAAAAAAAAGATGGATGGTTCAAACTCCACATCCAGCTTCACTAGCTTAAGACCAGTTATGACAGTGCTGTTGGACTGTCCTACACTGCCTCTGTTACGCATTAGCACGGATGTATCTGATGTCATTAGTGTCTAACCTAAATCAAGGTCAATCATGTGTCATATGTTTGGTTTAAGTTTCTCACTCGTTTTTGCTTATTGATAAACAACAGTCGTTCAATCTGGACCTATTTCATTGAAAATTTTACATTTGAAACTAAAATCCTCCTCCAACAACAACAAATGATTATTTTTCAGTAGACAGAAGTATAACTTAGTAGCTTGCAAAGTTGTTTTCTTTTGATTTGGAAAACCTGTGCTAGTGCTAGCCAACAGTCTTCTTCTTCTTCCGGCACACTGCTACGTTCCTGTGATCATTATAGCCACAAACTGTTAGCATGAACCCGTCAGCATGAAGGTGTATTGTTGAGCCACGTGCGTCTCTTCTGCCAGTTCAGCCCGAGATGCGGATACAGCAGGAACAAGCACATGAAAGCGCTGCACCAGTGGTGGGCACAAACTCAACAGGATGCATAATCCATTACACTTGAATTACACTTAACTTCCACAATGGAACCACATGATACACAATGGAGTAAGAGACTTGCTGTCCTTATTCTTAAAGTGACTTTTGTTTTAAATTTGATTTGTGTTCTGAGTTTGTATTTTGGGTTTTAATTTCTGGGCTACACAGCTGAGATGAAATGTTTTATGTTTTATATCCACACTCAGTTTAAGATTACCCTGCATACATTTATGCAAATTCACATGAATTATTTACTGGAAATTAAGATTTTTGAAAAGAAAATGCTGTTGCAATCCCAATAGCAACAAGGTCTCTCCCTCTTTTGCATTCACTTGCTACCAGAATAAATTGAAGACATGAACTACCTTGTAGCCGGTTAGCCTAACTCAAACTACCAAATACCAATAACTTAATACTGAGGCATGCTCCACTGATAAATGTACATGAACACTAACAAATTCGGACTATGTTGCTCCCTACCCTGTGCCAGCAGGTGCAGTGCGCGTGGCAGGGTTGGCAGGCAGACAGGGGCAGGTAGGCAGCGCTGGCATCAGGCAGCGAGCAGGCAGCGGGGGACAGCGAGGCCAGAGGCAGGGACACGGTCTGAGGGTGAAAGTGGTGATGTGGCTGAGTGTAACAAACAGCAGCTCGATCCCCGCCAGGCCCTACCGCTTGAGCCTCTCCAGCTCCTCCGCTGCTCACCTGGAACGACCAACAGGCGCAGTGAGAGGCCGGAGAGTACAAATATGACGACTTGTAACACACAGCTGGTAAAGATATTTGTTTTTAATCTGTCCATCAGATATGAAAAGGCCTTTTGTTGCCTTGTGCTGACCCTTGTTTCACTATGAAGCCGTGTAAACACATATTAAGTTGAAAAAGTATTAATGATTAATATTCACACATCTTTAGTATCGTTAATTAATATTTATTTTGAATTTATATCTTTAGCTAATTGTATGATATTATCAGTTTTTGCTGTTGTTGCTGCCTCTTCTTAGACTTTATATCACAATCAATTCATTTCAATATAGAATTTTACTCTTCTTTCATATCTGCAGTGTATTGTGGTTTTATGATAATGAAAAGTTTTAATTACACTGTACATGCAAAAGCCAAGCTAGGGACAAGAGCTGAAAATGAGCAATAGCTATAAACTCTCTGTGCAACACATCAGTTTCATGCTTTGTATTGGAACGATGTTAAATTGCATTGTCCCTATTGAATAAATAAATAAACTAAATTAAGTTATAAAAATGATGGATTTACCAGAAGTATCTTCTTGTTAGGTCAAATAACAAGAATATCTCTTTAAATCTGACCTCGGGGCCGTGGACATCCTCACCTCCTGTTCGCTGTCAGTTTTCACCTACAGGCATGTAATTTACTTTGTTCACCACTGAACAGCAGATGACTGAGGCCTGTCATTGACTATTTCTCACCTGTAATTCTGGTGTATAAATAACATGTGAATGCACTGCGCTCATTTGTAATGTATTTCCTGAGCAGGTTTGAGGCAAACCTAAAATTTTGTTTGCATTTCACCTGGTGTGTTGACACTTTCTATTTTCTCTGAGCAGGTGAAAACCTCACCTGTGGCCGGGGGGGGGGGGGGGGGGGGGGGGGAACCGGGGGGGGGGGGGGGGGGGGGGGGCAAAGGTGGTGGTGATGACTCAGAGCACACTGCACTGGAGGGCAACACCCAGTGCTCTGGATTTACAGGGCACTTTGTTAGAGGGATGAGGCTCCTTGATAAAACTTTCTGTTCAGACAATTTGTAACCACATGTTTTCAATCAGTCGCTCAGCGGGACTTTTTCTTGTGTTTTGTTTATGCCAGTCACACAATAAGACTTTACCGGATCATTTTTGGTGCTGCTTTCGCTTCCTCTCACAGAGTGACCACATAAAAAACAATGACAGTCTCTTTCTCTATTTGGACTTTCTCCACCTGATGCAGTCTGTTTCCATATCATGCCACTCTACATGCAAAGTGTTAATTATTGAACAACTGTGTTGGTAATTAACTGGGATAATACAAGTTAATTTCTCCGAGCATCTTAATGTTAAGAAAGTGACATTTGCACATGTTTAGCCAATAGTTTTGTGACCTATTCCTCTATCTGCATAAACGTTGTCAAGTGATTTGATTTTATATTCTGTGCTGTGTTTTAAAGCAACATCTACTATTAATTTCCAACCTGTTTCCAAGTATCTTTACATTTCACCACACTAGCACCAATGAGATGGTTTCTTAAAAGAATGTGATTTGCATGGGAAATAAGTGAAATTATTTCCTCAACCAAGTGTTTCAAAGTGCTCCCCTGGTTCCTGACTCCACCTCAGCAATGTTATATGTGAACTTTCTAGTGGCTCTCCACTCTGAGCATCCCTCTCACCTGCAGGATGTCCTGGATCTGGCTGAGCTGCTGCCTCAGCACCTGCTTCTGGTGGAAGCTGAAGGCCGGGTGGTTAGAGGCCATGGTGAACAGCAACAGAAACTGCTCCTCTGTTCTCCCGTCGTTCAGCGCCAGTCCATAGTTATTGATCACCGTGTCTGTGTGAGTCAGTGTCCGGTACAGGACCCCCGCCGCCTCCCGGTTGTCTGAGCCGAGCAAGGCGAGGGACACCAGCAGCTTGCTGCGCACCACCTCGTCGGTGATGTTGGTGAGGCCCGACAGGTCAGCGGGGTTGTTGGCTTTGATCTCCGCATCCCGGAGGGAGTGGTAGTCCTTGCGGGCCAAGTCCTCCAGGCAGGAGCCGAGGAAGCGGAGCTCGATGGGGACGCAGAGGTCCAGCAGCCCGCACAGGAACTCAGCCCTCTGGGCTGAGCTGAGGGAGGAGAACCAGCGGTACACCCCCTCCCTCTGGACACAGCTCCGGCTCTCCACCATCCTCATACATCCACTCAAACTGAACTGTTATTGGTTAGACAACAAGTGGAGTTAAAATGTCAGACTTTCAACTGAGAGTAAACTTGACAACAAATAGAGCGCGTGTGTGGACTGTGTGTATACGTGCGTAATTGCGCAGGAGCGCGTGAGCAGCGCTTCTCTCAAGTGGCCATAAAGTCGGAGCTTATTTGTCAACTTTAATTGAACTCGGTGACTGAGGCTGTTTCTCACCTCACGCTCTCACTGTTTGTTTCCACACACGGCGAACACAGGAGTGAAATGAAAGGAGCAACAGTCGTTTCCTTTGTTGGCGGACCGGCGCCGGCTCAGCAGCAGGCCTTTCCGAGCCACAACCTCTCAGAAGTCTCCTCTTGTTTCTGTTGAGCACGCAACGCGGCAGTCAGGAGTCACTCCGGCTTGTCCCCCTCCGCCGGTCGGACCGCAGCCCCCCTGGAGGCACAAAAACTGTTCTTGCAGACTGGTGGAGAAGATGAAAACACACCGCCCCATTCAAGGAGAGTCTCAATCACAGCGACTATTTGATCGGAGCCGCCCCGCTCTGCTGTCCCGCACTGCACAACAATCCCTTCCTGTAGAGTTGCTCCACCGTCCTCATGGTTTCCCAAAACTTGTGCAGGGAGCCGTGAGCAGGAGCCCAGCCGCAAAGTCTCAACTGCTAGCAAGACTGTGCTGCGGTTAAAGTTTAAAAACAAAGCTAGTGTGGCCTAGAGCTGCTGCTGCTGCTGCTGCTGCTGCTGCTGCCGCCGCTGGAAATAACATTATAACATTTTCGAGACATTACCTCATCAGACACCACTGTGGGGGGAAAACTCACCGATGACACCGGCAGATTTGTTCAATGTCCATTAATGAATGTAGTGCCAAAACATAGTTGTACGCTCCCTGCATTCTGCCATGAGTCTTGAAGTCCAGAAAAAAACAGCTGTGTTTAACATTATCCCAACTCTGGCAGCAAAACCAGCCCACTATACAAAAAAGCCCACTCTGATTGGCTGCGAGTCCTGTCTGTAATCAAAGCCTTCCTGGTGATTGGCCCAGGGGGATATCCTCTACCCTTGCTGTTTCACATCTTTTTCTCATGCGCTCATACATATATCAGCTCAGTTACTGGAGCTTTAAAGTGCCAGATACACGTGTGTTTGATGCTTTTCTGATGATAAAAGTTTCCTCAGTGTGAAAGTTAGTGTCTATATTCCTAACGACTAATTATGAACTATTGCTTTTAATAGTATTACTTCTTTTTTTTTTTACTTTTCAGAAGGAAGCTTATCAGCACATTTGCGGTGGTAAGTAAGAAAGATAGCTTTAAAAAAAAAAAGAAAAGAAAAAGGAAATTGAATTGTAAAGTGGCACAATGCTCACCAGTGTTTAAACACATTAAGATACTGGAATATTTTAGGGATAATGCCATTACTGTTGTTTTGAGGATACCAAAAATGAATTGCATGGCAGTCCGGCCGGTGTTTCACTAACGCTACTATATAGAGAAATGTACATTATGATCTTCATGACAGCAGCGGTTATTTTACACACTATCTGAACTATATTGGTAGTTATGTCCACGACATGTTGAGATTTCTTAAACACTCCTCTCTGTTCTATAAAGCCCCTTGTAGTTCATACCTAGGACCAGAAGATGGCGCCATATATCCATGTCATAGACTATATATAAAGGTGGTCCGTGTTGATGCAGCAGAACACTTGCTGATAGATGTGGTGTTGCATCCTTCATTACACCTGCCCATACCTGCTTACATCTCTTACTAAAAATAATTTAAGATTGTTGTTTAAACATTGATTCAGATTTACTTTGATGGGGTTTGATGTGTTACCACGTTGAGCTTTGTTTTCCGTCGTCTCTTTCTCCCATCCACCTCACAAATATTTAAGACGAATATTGAGAAAAATAATATTCAACACAACTGATTCAATACGAAACACTCACGACCCAAGCTCTCCTCCGGTGACTGATCCTCCGGTGATCGACCTCCCGGCCTGCCGCGTCATCTGATCAATCATTGCAGACCAGGTATATCAATCAAACAGCCACGCCCCCAAAAATACCTGTTTTTAAGGCCTAATATTTAATAAATTTGGTGATTATTTTCAGATGGACCACCAGAACACTGAACAAGAAGTGTGAATTTAGCCCATCACACAGTAATGAGTTCCGGAAAAAATTAATCGACTGAGTATTTCATGAGAGAAGTTGGTGTTTTTATAATGAGTGTGTATTGGAACCAGAGTTTTTTGGAGCCAGCCCCCAGCGGAACCTCGGTGGTATTGCACATTAAGGCACTTCCGCGTTGGCTTCACTTTTCAGCCCCGGAGACTACGTCCATTTTTATATACAGTCTATGACTACAGCAGGTTGAATCTGAAGCTGGGGGACAATAGTCTGTATGGGGGGGGGGTTCAATCACAAGTTATTGGACACAGTTTACGCTCCATTAGTTTGAGAAATATGACCAAACATGACACTTAACTAGAGTATGGCATAGGAAGCTGCTGGTCCAAAGGTTGTTGCTACCCAAAATTACCAAGCATTGTAAATCTATCAAATATCACTTAATAAGTGATACAAATTGGATGGGGACTTCTTGTGAATGCCATACAGCCAAATAGCAGTTCATTGTGTTGTTTAATGTTTACATAATGTCAAAATTTTATTATTAATAATGAAATAATAATAAACTTTATATAGCAATGTAAGAAATATTTGTAAAAATCACCACACCTAGACACATACGTTTTGCATTTACTTTTGGCTAGAATATATTTGATATTTATTTTCACATTTCTGACCAATGAATACAATAAGTATTGAAAGTACTGCAACAATGTAATTCTGACTGATTAGTTTGCATGCTTTTATGCAATGTGGAACTGTTTGAAATACTATTCTGTTCCTTTGTTGTATTTTCATTATATGCTAGTGTTTGAATAAGTGAAAGATACTTCTGTAGAAATATAGCAAATTTATTACAAATTTCACACCTTAATTCACTCACACACATGCACTCACACACACACACACACACACACCTATAATTATAGCATACATACTAAGAAATAAATTAAGTGTATAAAATAAAATAAATAAAATAAATGAACTAAAAATAGAAGGAGCGATCTGTTGGGCTCCAGGTACTTGTGGGGTTAGAAATATAAATGGAGTGATGACAGGGCTGGGGTTGGGGACAACAGGCAATGTGGCAGATGTAGGTGGAGGTGCCGGCTGAGGGAACAACTGCCTCTGAGCTGCAGACTTCCTCTTGACCACTGCCTGTCCTGCTGTACTGTAGGGCAAGTGGTACTGATGCTGGGGGCCAGGGCGTGGGGGTGCAGCTGCGGGGCGCACCTGTACAGGTGGGAGAGGCACAGAAGCAACTGGAATAGAGGCAGGCAAGTTGACCCCTTGAAGCAGAATACTACTGCCCTGCCTCTTCAGTCTCTTGTTGTTCCATTGAACCAGTGTTGTTTGACTGATCTCAAACAACTGCAGAGTAGTGCTCTGCATTACTGTGGCATTACCCCGGGACCAGCTGCCGGATCTTCCTGTAGTCCGTGACGATCAGAGTCCATCTTGTCAGTGCGTAACTGCCCTGTTTTTTGGGGCTCTTGTGAATGTTACACAGCTTGACACAGATGGACTCTACCAGACGACTACAGCCTGGCCACTGGGCTGGGGATCCTGAAGATGCCAAGGAACAACGTGTCGTGCTCTCCACACCTGGTGTAAATTCAGGTCTCTTTTTGGCACACCTGAAGCGTCCTGTGGTAAGGCGGGCCTGGTGCCGCGCAGCATACACCGCTCGCTGCTGGTCATATTGCAGAAGGTTCTGCCACAGGGCTATAACTGTACTGGCCTGTTGGTTGCTGAGTGTTTGGCCAGTTTCACTCCTCAGCCCCACCAAGTACTCTGCCAGGCCGTCCATTCGGTCCATCCCCGGGATACCGCGCTCATCGACAGCCTGGAAAAATATAAGAGTACATCAAAATCAAGATCACAGGCAGAAAAGTAACACATCTGTCACCGTTTAACTTGTTACGAAATGACTTACCAGCTGTTGCTCAGGTGCTGCTGGGGTCATGGCAGGTTCCCCAGAGGGAGCAGCAGTTTGAGTGGCGAGAGTAGCTGTGTAGGATGGTGATGTAGGGAGGGGCGGAGGCTGTGCTGGGGATGACAGCTCTTGGGCCAGAGGACGTGGTGTTGCGCTCATACAAAATCTGTTAAATGTAATAAAATAAACATCAAAATAATACAATGACAAGCAAAACAAGAAGACCACTGACACTTTTTTGATGCAACATTTCACAAAAAGACTTACAGGCTGTTGCTCAGGTGCGGCTGGGGGGATGGTTTGTGACCCAGCAGTAGCTGTAGCAGCAGAGAAAGTGGTTGTGAGGGTGGTGGGGAGAGGAGGGACAGAAGCTGAGCTGGTGGTTGAGGACTTCTTGATCAGCAAATTGAAAGCCTGAAACAACACACAATACAATTGAAATAAAAATTCACACTATACCACAAGTAAAACAGATGATATGTCACATAATAAAAACACTTACCAGCTGTTGTTGAGGTGGGGCAAGGGTGATGGGTGGTGAAGAAAAGGGACAAGCAGTTGCAGCAGGCGTGGTAGCTGGAAGGCCGGTGGGAGTTGGGAGGACAGGTGCAGAGCCGGTAGGGAGGGCTGATGGGCCAGAGTGACTATCTGTGCTCTCATGCACAATCTGTAAAATGTAATACTCTTTTAAAAATAAATTAAATAATAATAATAAAACTGCATTTAACTAGAGTTTTATCATTGCCTTTTATCTACGTTTCTATTTCTTGATGGCGTTATGTAATTTTTCTATGTATTTCTGTGAAGCACTTTGTTAACTTGTTTATGAAAAGTGCTATACAAATAAAGTTTAATATCATCATTATTATTATACAATAAAATCAAAAATCATAAGCAAATACAGACATACAATAA